TTTGAACTGCTGACCTTTTGGTTAGCAGCCAAGCTCTTAACCACTGTACAACCAGGGGCTATCTTATATCATGGGTGCCTAATACTGTGTTTGGCACGGGGTCGAGGGCGGGGGGGAGAAACTAAACCCATTGCCATCAAGTCAATTCCATTTCATAGCAACCCCATGTGTTACAATCCAGAACTGCTCCATAGGGTTTTCTTGGTTGTAATCTTTATGGAAGTGTATCACCAAGCCATTCTTCCACAGCACCTCTGGCTGGGTCCAAACCACCAACGTTTAGGTTAGTAGTAGAGTGCAAACTGTGCCACCCAGGGACCTTCGGCACATAGGGGTCACTCAAAAATCTTTGTTGAATGCAACACCAGTCATGTTTCTAGTTGTAAACAGACCTACAGACACTGAACCTGTAAGTATAACAAACCCTGCTAAAATCTTATTCTCTTATCTCTGTTTTTTCTGTTTCTTAATTAAGTACAGTAAGTCAGTCTTCAAAGTTTCAAATTCCCTATTATAAAATACTCCAATTTTATAAATCTGTGATTTCAAATTGTTGAGCATTTCAAAAGTGATTTCTCCACTAACGTATAGCAGTGAGTAAAAAATGTGCAAATTCAGTCACATTTGTTAGACAAATTTCCAGACACTAGATAAATGGATTTTACTTGATACTATTTTGAGATGAAAAAACCATTTCTAGAATTTTTATCTATGTATGCTGCTACAAATAAAACTTTTCCTATTTTAACAAGTCATCAAAGAGAACTAAACATACCCTCTAAATTTAAAATATGAAGTAACCAACGAGGAATTAGGAGAAAAGTTAGCTGAATTTCTAAAAAGTATAGTCGCGTTTTACACTTTTAAGAGTCTTCCTAAAATCTTCTAAATGACCAAAACAGATATTTTTCGAAAATTGCACCTTTTATATTCTCCAATCAATATTCAACTATGCCCAAGTTATAAAATAAATTGTTATCTTCTTTTGGACATGTTTTTAGTTCCATGATGTCTCAGAAACTGATTGCCTATGTCTTCCTTATTATTTTTTCATAAAATCCAATTTGATTAAGTTGCTTTGAGTTTAGGTCTCATAAACGTTTTAATGCATTTTTAAGGAATAATCAGGGTTTGAATTTTTCTGATTTCTCAGTAGAACAAAAATAGAGACAAGTAATAATTTTGTGGCTACAGTTCAAGAAATTTAATATACAAGATGTACAAAGCACACAGACTCAAAATTATATTTCCCATACAGGTAGTAGATCTTTTTAAAATGACATTTCACAAGCATCAGCAGGGTTGACAGACTAATACAGTAAGACATTTCTCTGGAGCAGAACTAATGAGTCTCCTGGTACAGCTATCAAATTAAATTTATAAGACTCTCCACCCTCATTAGAGGACAAACCATGGAAGCCATAAGCTTTGAGGGTTATAACAAGAATCACTTCAAAATAAATGTAGTCTTATTATAATTTAGTACAGCAGAAAGCAACACAGAATGTGATACCATATCTTTAACTTATTGTTATAAGGCAAAAGGCCTAATATGATTAATCTGCAAAAATGCAGGTATATCAGAACACTGAGATGCTAATCAATGATCACTGCTCGCTACGAAAGACTTGGTTGAAGGGATACTGTTATTTGCTTTGCCTTGTTTTTAATGGCTATTTTTTGAGCCAGTCCTGTTTGAAGGACACAGAATGTGATTTTGTGGCAGACACGGAATCATCTTTGCTGAAAGGAGGAAAAAATGTCCAATTGTTCTGTTATGTCCCACTTAGCAATACAATAATTAAAAATTTACGGCAACAGGGCCCAACCCATGGGGTCTCTGGAACGTAACTGATGCTCCATTAAAATACTTGTTGAATAAATACATGAACAATTAAACAAAGAGTTTTAAGTTGCATACCTGGAGGAGAAGGTGATACTTTAAAACACGTTGCATAGGTACCACAAGCAAATCTCGAAGAGTGAATTTCCCATTATTTGCTCTTTTGGAACATTCCTAATGAAATGTTTAAAAAAAAAAAAAACTTTTTAAAAACTTTGTTCATTTTCTCAGGGGAGTCATAAAACAAATACTAAAAGGCCATAAACAGAATTGTTATTATTATACAATAAGTACTTTACTGTTTCCCTCCTGAACCCTGAAGAAAGTGTCTTTAATTAAAAAACAAAAAAAACTTGTAGCCTTTCAACTACAAATATGAACCAATAAATAGAACTATTTTATGGATGAAAATTATTCTCTCTAGTTCAGAATCAGGGCCCTCCAGGGTTCTCCTCAGCTTGCCCTGACAGAAGGACCTCCCACCACCCTCCCCTAATGAGCCTTTGGGCCAAGAATCAAGAAAAAGTCTCTGCTCATCAAACCCGCCATGTGCCTTCCCACCTCATGCCTTGGTTCATTTGGTTCTCTTCAATTGCCATGTGCTTTGTCTCCAGCAAAATTCATCCTCCTCCTCAAGAACTATGTACTTACAGGCTTTTGGTTATAATCCCCATAAAAATCATTCACTCTCTCTCTCTCTGTGCTTTGTAGGTTTTCTTTTAATCATCGTTGTGCATAATACCTTCCGCAGTATATTAGGTCTCTTATACCTCTAAGGGAAACTCTGGTGGCATAGTGGTTAAGAGCCACTGCTGCTAACCAAAAAGGTTGGCAGTTCGAATCCACCAGGCACTCCTTGGAAACTCTATGGGGCAGTTCTACTCTCTCTTACAGGGTCGCTATGAGTCGGAATCAACTTGACATCAGTGGGGTAGGATACTTCTAAGAAGCTGGTATTTGTTTAATAAATATTTTTTGAACTACTGAAATGGAATGTTTGGCTCTTAAAATCTGCTAAAGTATAAACCTACTACTGGAATCAAAGTTTTAAAAAGCCTCCGATTTTATTTCTTAATCTCATTATCTTCTTTCTTAAAAATTTACTTAAATGTAGTATTGACTTCTACAGTCTTTTCACAATAGCTATGATGTTAAGGAAACACCCTTGAATTTGAAGTGTCCAAGCCTAAGTTTAAATCCACTTTAGCAACTCCTGGTTGTGTGACCTTGGACGAGTTACTTTTTGATTTTATTATTTCTCATGTTATCTGTAGTGTGGTTCAAAATAACCTAACAAAGTGCCATGCAGATGTTATTACTGATCAACCTCATAAACTCAAAATCTTCAGACAAATGACATCCCAGAACAAGGAATCTTCCATTCATGGAGGGAGATGTACTCAAGAAAACAGTCCTTTACTCATGGGTTTGTTTCTCCTTTACCCACACTTATCTTTGCTGGCACAATAAAGGGTATAGAATCAGGGGCTTTAAAGCAAACACCATTAGCTCTAATGACAGGTTACTTAATGAGTGTGCTTTACCACAGATCTTAAGCAAAAAGAACTGGGTACACATCTTGACATGTTCACTCCTGTCTCGTCAATTACTGTGGTTCATGGGAAGGGCAGCTATTTCAACGGACTTCTTGCTTCTACAGATTGTAGAGAGTTCTAGATCACAGGTCTCAAATAAGGGGTTAAACTGTTAACATTATTGTAATGAATGGGTTTTATCATCACAACTGAATTTTTAAACTCCTTGGAATTACGGTTGTATGTTTCACTTCTTACATTATGCCATCCCAACGTGGTGTTATGACACTTCAGGCAGTGAAGAAAACAGAAATGTTATACATTTACCAATCCCTTTGTTAGGTTAAGAACCCTGGTAGCATACTGGTTAAGAGCTTGGCTCCTAACCAAAAAAAGGTTGGCAGTTCAAATCTACCAGTCACTCCTTGGAAACCCTATGGGACAGGTCTACTCCGTCCTATAAGGTCGCTATGAGTCAGAATTGACTCGATGGCAACAGGTCTGTTTTTTTATTGTTGTTGTTGTTAGGTTATGGAAATCACTATAAATTGTTGGGGAAAAATTAGTCCCTTTAAGTTCTAAGCTGTAGGCTCGGGAAGTAAAGAAACGAACACTGCCAGCATTAGCTACAACTGTGGGGCTGAGACTGAGATGCAAAATGTTTACTAGTATTGAGAGTAAATATAGAAATAATTTTTCCAAAATACCCAGTCACTTGCTTAGCCTAACCTGCAATTCTAACTGAGGGGAAAACAAAATGGGGCAGGGCTGGGCCAGGCTTACAGGGCAAGATAAAGAGACTATCACGCTCTACCCCATGTTCTCTTGGTTCTGAAAGACAAAAATCAACAAGAGCAAAAAAATAACCACAAAACAGAAGACCCGAAGGAGGCAGGGAGGCACCAAGAGTAAGGCAGTTTTTGCTCCAGCCTGCTGGGGTTTGCAGAAGGCAGTTCCAGCAAAGAGTATTTGTGAAGTGTTATACTAACCATCTCAAAATCAGGCCAGTGGTCAGAAGTAGGGGCTTTTCACCTGAGGGAAGGACAGCCAGCAGCACCTCCTCTTCAGCCTTTCAAACACAGCCTGAGCTCTCTCTCCCTAAGGCTGATGCTAGGTGTCATAGTGATAGTGACCATGTGACAGAGTAGAACTGTCCCATAGGGTTTTCTAGGTTGTAATCTTTACGAGAGCAGATCACCAGATGTTTCTTCCCAGAGCCCTAGGTGGGTTCGAACTGACAACCTTTTGGTTAGCAACTGAGTGCTTAAACCGCTACACCACCAGGGCTCCTCTAAGGCTGATAGTGACTGCAGAAACGATGCACCTAGAGTCCCAGAGTGAGGTCATTATGCAGGACTCAGACAGTGACTCTGAGAGAAGGAGGAGCAACATGGAGGTTTAGTTGACAACTTGCTGACTCCTGTCTTGAACCAGGCCTTTATATCATTAAAAAAAAAAAAAAATTCTCTAACGGTAGCTCTACTAGGATCTAGTTGTGTAAGTTGTAAAGATTTATTTTTACCATCAGATTTTAATTTACTGAGTCAAGGTGGCTTATAGTTCTGCACTTTGAAGGCTCTATTCTCCCAAAAGGAGCAGGAACCCTTTACACTAACAAGGCTGTGAGGATGTTATTTAGTAGTGCCTCAAACCATCTCCAGATACATGGACCACATAATCAAGGGACTGTAACAGGTAAAGAAAAACAACCCATGATACAGACTTAGTACAGTTAGTTGGTGGCCTGTTAATGTGTAAACTTTCAAGCCCCTGGTTCTCCTTTCTTGGAGTTGTGAGTTATGAAACCATGGCAGATATGCTAAAAGAATGGAGTTCTGAAGATTTTGAAAGTCAACTACTTCTTTTTCCCCTGGTCATCACTGACCACACTGCTTAACTGCACAGAGAGCAGCAAAGGGGATATTAAAAGGCAAGATAAGCAATTAGTCATTTAAATGTTGACTATATATCACTATCTGAAATTTAAGAAAATACAAACACATGGATAATACATTTGTGATGATAATTCATATAATATATAAATAAGCAGTTTTCAAAAGTTCTTTGAAAGTACAAGCTGTTCCTACGGGAAAAAAATGTGACGTACAAAAACATGACTTAACACACATTTCCAGACTTATCTTCCTTTGTGACCATGTGCTGTTTAAACTGGCCTACTTGCCATTTCCCAAGCTTTCCCAACTCTTTTGGTCAGGATGTGTCAGTTCTTCGGGAATACTCTCTATGGAATCTCAATTGTCAAAACTCAACCCATTCTTCACTGACCTCACTCAAATGCTGCTTCTTCAGATAAATCTTCCACAATCTCCCCATACTGAAGTGATTATTCAGTCTTACTCATGAAGCCTTGTTAGGTAGTGCTTATCACATACAACTCAATCCTATTATATTTGTGTTTGTCTTGTCTTTCTTTTTATGGGCAAGAGTTATGTCCTTTTTATACTTCTGCCACTAAGTATCTTAATAAACCTTTTCCAAATCTATATATATAGTATCCTAATATATATCTTACTCATCCTGTGCCTCTTCCTAGCTAGGTGACCCTGGGCAAATTACTCATAACCTCTCCGAACCTCAGCTTCTTCATTGATAAGATGGGAAAATCCATTGATTGTATATATCTTAGCCATGAGGACCTAATGAGATAATGCATATAAAACACAGGGCCATATATCCTAGATTTCATCACTGTATTATTACTACCATATAATTATTTTATAGAGCTATTAAAATATTTTATAAAATTGACATGAAGTTATATTCAGAATACATGGGAAATTTTACTGTTGCATTGACCATGACAAGGACTACATTTCTTTTAGGTTTATTTTTCTCTGTGTCGTAAACAAACAAAAATAGAGACACCTCTAATTTCAATTTGACATCTTCTTTTGTCTTAGAAATGTTGTCTAAACTAGAGATGGCCGACTCCACTCCACTGCAGTACTGTCCATAAATAACCAACCTGAAAGGAAAAAAGAGAGACAAAGACATAGGAAAAAAAGCAAGAATAAAGTGTAGGGGAGAAAAGGTAGAACTGCCATCTTTTTAACATCACAGTTAAGGATTATCAAAGCAACAATAGAAATTCTACATACCACATAAAAAGTCATAGGATGAGTAAGGGTCACTCATATTTACAGTAATTACTAATTTTTAGCTCCAAATTTAAATGGGATAATCTCATGTACATTTTTAAAGCAGGGAGATTTTACAAGTTTGATGACTTTTTATGTTGCTTGAGTAAACAGATACATCACAGAAACAAAAATAAGAATTTGTTAAAGCTCCTGTCATAGATCAACTTTTTACCTTTTACTTATACTCAGAAACAATTTTATTTTCCCCTAAAATTTTATGGTAATCACTACTTACAACTGCACTATTAATAAACCTCCTACTCCTTTCTACTTTTCAACTAATAAAAATATGTTATTTGAAAACAGGGACCGAGAAGCTAGAACAATGTCGGATAGAAGATGACTCATATTGCAGAGTCTGAGCCTGCTTCATGAAGGGCATTGCTGGAGTAATGCAGACATTTTACAAAGAGGCTGGTGAGTTTACTTCTTTTAACTCTACATTGAAATAAAACTACTAATAAGGTGTTAATGTTTACCTAAGAGTTGACCCAAAGCAATTCATTAGCCACTTCTTAGAACTAGGAAATATACACTGCTTGTTTTCAAGACAGAGAGAACTTAATTTTTGTCACACTCAGAATTCGTTGGTACTCTAACTCACGTGAGTCATGTAGGAGATTTTTTTTTTTTTTTTAAATAAGAAGGGAATTAACTTTGACTATGGAGCTAATACTCCGAAATAGAGAATCAAAAAGTATTAAGAGTTGGAAGAAACCTTGTTGTTGTTGTTAGCTGCTGTCAAGCTGGCCTCTGACTCATGGCACCCCCATGCACAACAGAATGAAATGCTGCCAGATCCTCTGCCATACCCATGATTGGCTGGGGATCGGAAGGTAGTGATCTATAGGGTTTTCACAGGCTGATTTTTAGAAGTAGATCACAAGGCCTTTCTTCCTAGTCCATCTTCATCTGGAAGCTCCACTGAACCTTGTTCAGCATCATAACAACACTCAAGCCTCCACTTAAAGATGGGTAGTGGCTGGGCATGAGGTGCACGGGTCAGGAATTGAACTAAGACTCAAACTGGGGTCTCCCACATGGAAGGCGAGAATAAGGTACCAGCTAATCCATTCCCAACATTTACAGATGGGAAAATGGAAGCTAACAAAGTTAATTTGACTTGTTGAAGATAACATAGCTCATTAATGACAGGGTTTATAAAAGAACCTGAGACTTTTGATTTTTCAATTCAAAAGTCTCTGTACCATACCAGTTCCTTTCTTTCTTTCTTTTTTTTTAAATACTCACAGACAGTCCTGAGATTAACTGTCCACATTCTAACCACTGCCCAAGTAGTATTTTAATAAATAGTAGAAATAAGCTACTTTTTAGCAATTTTAATACTAATCATCACTAGAGTTATTATCTCCACAAAAGTTAAAATTTTAAATTTACCTTTCCTTGTAGTTAATGAAAACTTGATACAAGTTCTGGTCATTTTTATTTACAATGGAATCATGAATCTCTTGCATTAGGTTCCGATGAATTTTCACAAGTTCCTTAGAAAAGAAAACAACGTCAAATGAAATTAAAAATCAGAACCAAAAACTATACTCCAAACCAAGAATCCCTATTATTTCTAGACTTGTCATGCAAGGATGTGCTGAATGCTCCATAGATAAACCTGCTATCATCAATAAAGAAAGAAGGCATGAACCACTGCCTCACCTACCCTGAGACCAGAAGAACTAGATGGTGCCCAGCTATCACTACCGACTGTTGTAATCAGGGCCACAACAGATGGACCCTGAAAGAATGGGAGAAAAATATGGAACAGAACATCAAATTAAAAACAAAACAAACAAACAAAAGAACAGACCTACTGGACTGGATGAGACTGGGGGAATCCCAGAGACTACTGCACTGAGGTACGCTTCAAACAAAAATCCTCACAACTGGACCAATAAGCAACATCATGATAAATGAATAACATGTTGAAGTTGTCAACGATTTCATGTTACTTGGATCCACAATCAATGCCCATGGAAGCAGCAGTCAATAAATCAAACGACATAAATTGCATTGAGCAAATCTGCTGCAAAAGACCTCTTTAAAGCGTTAAAAAGCAAAGATGTCACTTTGAGGACTAAGGTGCATCTGACTTAAGCCACAGTATTTTCAATCACTTCTTATGCCTGTCAAAGCTGGACAATGATTAAGGAAGACAGAAGAACTGATGCCTTTGAATTATGATGTTGGCAAAGAATACTGAATATATACGGACTGCCAGAAGGACAAAAACATCTGTCTTGCAAGAAGTACAGCCAGAATGCTGCTTAGAAGTGAGGATGGTGAAACTTTGTCTCACGTACTTTGGACATGTTATCAGGAGGGACGAGCCCCCGGAGAAAGAAGTCATGCTTGGTAAGGTAGAGGGTCAGCGAAAAAGAGGAAGACCCACAACGAGATGGATTGACACAGCGGCTGCAACAATGGGCTCAAGCATAACGATTGTGAGGATGGCATGGGACTGGGCAGTGTTTCATTCCGTTACATACAGGGTCACTATGAGTCAGAACTGACTTGATGGCACCTAACAACTCTTCAAATCTTGAACTGAACTAACCTCTGAGGTCATCTTGTATCTAAATAATAAATTGGCTCAAAAAATAAATGAATATCACCTGCAAGTACTATGTTCCTTTAAAAAATCACTTATGTGAGGCCAAATGGTCAACAATTACTTTAAAACAAAGATGAAACTGTCAGGGGGCAGGGAAACTAGATTAATGGAAACGGAAGAACCAGAATGGAAATAATGAGAATCTTCACACACTGTGAAGAATGTAACCAATGTCACTGAACACCTTGTGTAGAAATTGTGGAATGGGAACCTAAACCACTGTGTAAACCGTCATCAAAAACACCACAGAATATTATTTAAAAATAAATAAATAAAGAGAGAAGGCAGAGGAAGGGAAGAAAATGGAGAAGGAGGAAGAAGAGGGAGACAGAGACACAGGCCATGTGCATGAGAAAGAGCAATTTCGGATCTGACTTGGAATATCAGTGTCCTGTAAAGAGAGAAATTATTTCGTTATTAAAGAGTAATTTATTCTTGTATAAAAATATGTATGGCTCATTTTCATTTTATAAATCACTTTACATTTTAAATAAAACTATCTAAGCACTTAATGTTTTATTGACAGGATAATGTAATGATTCATGTCCTTGGGACTTAAAAATTTAGATTTATAATTTGGTAAATTGGTGGTGCCCTGGTGCTAAGCTGACAATAATCAGACTAAACTCCTTGAAACTAGACAACTAATAGCATAAGGAAGGAGCAAATAAATTGTACTAGACAGTTTACTAGAATAACTCAAAAGTCAGAATTTCATATTTTTTCCTGAAAAGCAAGTAATTTTCAGTCAGACAGTAAATATATGCCACAGCCAGGAAATGAGGGAATTCGAATCAAGGTGTGTATTCCTCCGACCTCTTTTCCAGTGTATGAAGGAGCACACACTGACTTCACAGCACGTACTTTCCTTAGTAGGGTGGAAATGGAACATGAATACATTGATCCTGACAGTTTGTTGAGAAGCATGGAAAAGCTACAAGAATAAGGAACATTAAATGGGTTCTAAGTTATAGGAACCACGTTTAGGTACTTTAACATCTTTCTATAATATGCAGTTTGCTTTATGCTAAAATTTAATCTGCTATGGTAAGCATTTTCTTCTAGCTATGTTAAAAATCAAGGAGAATGTCTTCCTTTGGCTAAAATCAGGGAGAAAGACAACATGCCACAGCTAACCAACTCCTGCTCAGTAACACTGAACATAACAGGTGATACAAACAAGCCGTACATAAAAGCTATAGTTTAAAACTGAAGCAAATTCTAGAGCTCTAACTTTAATCTTGCCTAGCATTATCTAAAATGGCAAATCATTTAGCTTGTCTCTATATTTCTGGGTCAATATCCTTTTGGGTTTGTAAGATTATGTAAGGTACCTTGAAATTTGAAATACATAAATGTAAAGAAAATCTCCTCACATTATACCAATAAAACAGTCTGTTAAATAGTAAGGAAATAGTACATTTCAGAAACGAGGGTTAGGATTAATTCAGTTGGAAGCAGAAAGCACTAAAGAGCAGAGGCAAGGAAGTGGAGGGATGGTGTGAGGTACAGAAGACAACCCATACAGCCAGGCCAGACTATAAGATAGGGCTCAGCAGGCTGGAGGAGCAACAGAGCACGGAAGCATGGGGCAGAAGGGGATTCCCACAAGACAAACAAATGGTACACCGGGAATCATTTAACCAAGAGCACCTCTTCATGCCTAACAGTTAAGGATAATACAAGCACCTCACTTATCCATTTGTATTCTGCATACATTTTAATTAACTTTGGGTTAATGATATGACAAATAACTTATTAATTTCTAGAAAATAAGAACTTGGGAGGCAAAAAAAAAAAAAAAAGGTCAAATTTCTTAAAGAAAACAGGAGAGTGTTAAAATAAGGATCTGAAACCCAATAATAAAATTAAGATTTTACAGACGTACCCCACAATTTTAACTAGTGCATTTTTACTTACAGGAATGTTGATGAATACTGAATCAAATTCCGCTGCTGTCAGAAATCTTTTTAGTGGTGCCATGAAATACTATCAGGAGAGAAGACAAATAATTAATTAAGCTTTACTTTTCCTTACCTACATGATTGTTTCTTTTCATTAACAACAAATAACAAATAATTTATTCAGTCAATTGTTTATCAGTATTATAGATACGAAAAAAGCAGAAACTATTTTTTCCTATCTTAGATTTCACACATGAACAAAGATGAAAAGACAAATACAAGTTAATAGACGTCAACTATAAAATAAATAGTTTAGGCAGTAAGTGCTTCTAAAAGTGAGAAAGAGAAAAACATGATTGGTTGAGTTGGCAAAAAAAAATCATGGCATTTTGGAGAAGACGTATTTGAGGGTTTATATAAAATATCCCTCAAACGCCTGGTGGGGATTACAGATCCCTGAGAGCAATCATCTGCTCATGCAATTTATGTATCAACTCTGAATTATTCCTCTTTATTCCCTGAGAATTTTAGTTCCTGGCCTCTTTCCATCACTACCCCTATCTTTACTCTTGACAATCTCAGTATCAATGCAAATGATTTTTCCAATAGCCTGGCCTCTCAGTTTTTTGACTTCCATGATCATATGCTCCATCCTCGCTCAGTTCCCCACTCCTGTGGTCATACCCCACCTACCTTGTCATTATCCATAACTGCACAGCACTGATTACAAGCAATCATGGCTATCTACCTCCTACCTTTGCAGTTCATTCCTTCAAGGAATTCTTCAACCCTATTGGGTCCACCAATCTATTGACCCTATCACTGTCCCTCAATCCTCATGTCCGACTTCCCTCCTTACTCAGTTTACACTCTGTGAACCATCATCAGAATCACTTTCTTGCAAATAATCTTACCTTTTCTCATGCTACTGGGCTTTCCAGGAAAAATGAAAATCCTGATTAAGTCTAACTTGCCACCTATTTTGTTCCTGTATCTAAGAAGACAAACATGAACTATACTGATAGTCTTATTTTAAATATAACTATAAATATCAGCTGTGCTGTAATGCTACATAATCCTACAATATGTCCCTACTTAATTTACCCACCCTCTCTCCTAAACAACTCTTTCATACCTTTTTTCTTCTCCCAAACTTCCAATTTTTTTCTCCTTGTTCTTATCTTCCTAACCTCTAATTGTGGTAGTTCCCAGGTGAGGCCTCAAACTTCTCTATCTACATTCATCCCCTGGGTGACTTCATTTAGTCCTACGGCCTTAAATGTCATTTTGCAATACTGGCCCAACCTATATCTCAATTTAATCTTTACAGACTCATATTGCTCCCTCCTTAGATGTCTACTTAGAAGCCTCCATTTAGAAGTCTAACGTTGCTGTTGTTAGCTGCCATCCAGTCAGCCCCCGACTCATGGAGATCTCATGCATGACAAAGCAAAATGCTGCCCAGTCCTGCACCATCGCCATGATCAGCTGTGGATCAGATTGTTGTGATCCATAGGATTTTCGTTGGCTAGTTTTCAGAAGAAAATTACCAGGACTTTCTTCCTAGTTCATCTTAGTCTGAAAGCTCTGGTGAAACCTGTTCAGCATCACAGCAACACACAAGTCTCCACGGGTGGTAGCTGCACATGAGGTGCAGCGGCCAAAAATCAAACCCAGGTCTGCCTCATGGAAGGGGAGAATTCTACCTAATAGACTCACAGTTCCCACATCCCCTAACCTGTCCTTCCCCATCTCAGTAACCCTCCTCACCATTCACACAGCTGATAATGCCAAAATCCTAGCAGACATCTTTCTCTTTGATCCCTCCCACCCCACAACCTTGATCTAATCTATCACCAAATACCACTGGCTCTATTTTCAAAATTCTTTCAGAATCTGACCACTCCTCACTGCCTCAACTTATACCACCACTATTATCTGTCACCTTGATTACTGCAATATTCTCCTAGCTTTGCTCCTAGTTTCCACCCTTGTCTCACACAAGCCAGAGTAGGCTATTAAAAACTTAAATCTGATCATGGCACTTCTGCTCTAAACACTCTGGCTTCCCAATGGCCCTATGAGACCTGGTGGCCCACCACCTCTCTGACTTCATCTCTCCCTTCACTCATTCTGCTCTGGCCACACTGGTCTGATGCTACTTCTTTCAAACACGCTGAACACTTCCCCTTTGAAGGGCCTTTCTCCCAGAAATTCCCTTTTCCAGGGCTATCTGCAGCCTCGCTCCCCCAATTCACTCAGCTTTCAGCCTAGATGTGATCTAATCAGAGAGGCCTTGCCCCTCCCATCACTCTCTATCCCCTTCCCCTATTTTACTTTCATACAAAGCACTCATCACCAGTTAACACATTATATACTTGTTTGCTTACATTCTAAACCCACATGAGCATGAAAGTACAATAAGAACTAGTTTTTTGTATTTACTGATATATCCCCAGCCTCTGGAACAATGCTGGTCAGATTCAAAGAAATTAATAAATAGTTGTAGAATGAATAAATCTGCAAACACACATGCATACACACACATACACAGTAGTAGAAATATTGAGCATAATGTCCTGACAATATCGGGCAGTACTGGGGTATCAAAAATAATAGCTGATGACTTACTTTCTCTATTGACTCCAAAGTTTCTGTATATTTTTCTTCTGTCTGCTTAATTTCTGCTAGGCAACAACTTCTTATGTCATTTTCTGGACATTTCTGAAATTAGAATCATTAAATTAAAATTAATCAAATAAATGAATTAATTATATTATCTACACAGTAGTAACTAGAAATAGATAAAAGTTGTTATTGATTATCTTAAACTTTCCATTCTAATAAAGAACATAACTGAAAGACATTTAACTGTATTTCTGAAGTATCTTCGGTTTGTTTTTTTTTTATCATTTTGAACAATGTAAATAAAAACATTTTAATGATTAAAATTAAGCTTCTGAGTATAGATACTCTCCTTAAATTAAAGCATCTTTTTTATTAATGTTAATGAATCTGTAAAAACTACAAATGTGGCAATATGATCGTCCTTAATGTACAGTATACTTCACAAGTGCTGTAGAAATAACTGCAAAAATATTAAAGGTATATTTGGTTAAGTAAAAACGTTCAAATTTTTTCAAGAGTTAACATCTTGGTGTTTGGCTCTTTTACCTAAAGCATTTTACGACTGGAGCTGGTATAGCGTAGTACTAAGACCAAAGGTTTGTGGACCAGATTGAATTGGAATCAAGTACCAGTTTTGCTGTTACTAGCTTTGCGACTTTGAACAAGTTACTTAAATACTCTGTGACTCAATTTTCTCATCTGTAAAACAGAAATCAGTACAGTACCAACCTCAAGGACTTCTGGATGAGATAACCAACGTAAACCACTTAGCACCTTGCCAGGTACATGAGAGAAAACAAAAAACAAAAAACCAAACCCGTTGCCTTTGAGTCAATTCTGACTCATAGTGACCCTATTGGACAGGGTAGAACTGCCCCACAGAGTTTCCAGGGAGCACCTGGTGGATTCAAACTGCCCATCTTTTGGTTAGCAGCCATAGCACTTAACCACTACACCACCAGGGTTTCCAGGAAGAGCCCAATAAATCTCACTGTTAACCCTGTGCCACGAAAACAACCCAGGGCTGGCAGTCGAGCAAAGAATGCTCTTGGGAAAGACACCAAAGAAGATGGCTATTTGCTGGCGTCCGAAGTGGTTGACCGTCATAGGGGTCACAGACGATACTCCATCACCTAAAAATGCTGCCGCGGGCGGTCTATCAGCTCACGCAGTGGCTTAAAGCCTACTCCCCTGTACATTTACTAAATACAAGCCAGGTGACTTATTTCTGCCCCAAAGAAACTCCTGCTCCCCAGCGGAGGCACCTGATAATCCACCAGCATTTTATTAAAGGCAAGAGTACAGAGGGAGTTGGGCAAACTCATCAAAGCACTGAAGAAACCAAAATCACCACCAGCTGATAAAGAATAGTCTTTAGTTTCAAAGAAGACGTTAAGCAACTGATTTTGTTGTTGTTGTTGTTGTTTCGAATTACAGATGAGAAAATAATTCAAACTAATTTCTTCTAAACGTTCTAGATATTTCAATGGCAGATAAAGTTTTATAGGCACATAATGGGTATTAACAGTATCTGAAACTAAGTTTATAAAACAGTAAAAAAGCAAGAGGACTCATAATGAAACAAAAGAGAAAGAAACAAGTACCTCATAGTAAAATACCTAATGAATACGAAGAAATACTCTCTAACATGTATTTCATCCTACATCAAACGTAATTTAAAGAAAAAAGATTACCTTTCAAAACAATATAATTTCATGATTTCTTGAAATTATATCCTATTGCCACATTGCCTTTATTTAGCTGAGTGGTATGTCATTTATCAGGCTTGATTTCCTCACTAGTAAAATGAAAGGATTAGACAAAAAGATCCCAGGGTTGTTTTAAACTGCAAAATGCCTTGCTTATATGTCTTCAAGTGCAATAACAAATATATCAGTTCCTAAGCAAGCAAAAGATATAAAATTTTTTAAAAAAGGAAGTATTCCAGCAGTGGTTACATAATTAATTATATTAATTAGTCTTTCAAATAATATCTTCCTAACACACTATTTTTAGTAACTTTATAAATAAGGCAAGTGAAAATCCTACAGGTTGGTGAGCTTCCTCTGCTTTCATTAAGTCCTCATAGACTTCTCCACCTTCATCTTCCCCATAGACACAGTCATAGAGGCCTTCTTCATCATCCGCGCAGGTTTCACTGAAACCAGAGGCACATTGTAAACGTCATTTTCTATTATGCAAAAAATGCAACAGCCAGAAATAATGCACTGGATTTTAATAGCAAATAAAGCATAGGGAATAAAGTGAATTAGTGAAAAGAGTCAAAAGCCTTATATTATAGCTCTGTTCCTCCTAACAACAGAAATGAGAAAAAACCAACAATAAGAGAATCCAACATTAATGGCAGTCATAGCTAACAATGACAGCATATTTACTATGTATACAGCACATAACTGATCACTCTGCATATATGATCTCATTTCATTCACCCAGCATGGTGAACATGATTATTTAATCCACTGTAAAGGTGAAGGAGTTGAGAGACCAAAAGCTTACTTGACTTGCCAAAGATGAAACAGCTAGTTAATGGCAAAGCCAGGATTTAAGTCTGTCTTACACTTTGTTTTGAACATTTTATCACACTGTCTCCCATTTTCTATATTTCAAAGCCTCAGTTTCATCATCTGTCCTAAAGGCTATAATACAGAGATGACAGGGGAGTTAGGGAGAATCTAATGTCATAAATGGTCTTTTCAAAGCATCAGAAGAGCAGGATTATTACTATCAATATCTAACCTAGCAGTTTTCAAATTGTGCTCCTTTAAGCCCACTCAGAGGGCACCCAAAAGTCTCCATCAACCGGACTCTGCTTTTATGTGTTTTGTATTTTGTTTAAAAAAAAAAAAAAAAAGTCCCAAGACCAAAAAATATTTTAAAAACCAATGATAATCGTTTGCTGGTCTCGGGACAGCTGAGAACTATCCCTGTTTTAAAAGCTCCCTCGGCACTTACACAGCGACCCGCTGGCAAGTCATTCCAGAGCCCCTGATGAGACTAACCCTCAGTCAAGGCGGAGCCAACTGCTCCACCCACCCCATGTTCTGTTACTATTTCTAGGTTTTTCCTTTCAGTTCAAGATTCCACAGGTACCTTCTATTAACTAATAATCCCCAACAATGGAGATGAAATCAACTTAGGTGTGCTGAAAAGGAGGATTCACACTGCCATGAGAGAGAAATTCAACTCCTTCAACACTGCCAGCCCTTAGCGTCTCTCCTGGGCCCGTGCAGATACATCATTATACATAACATATACAAAAATAAAAGCACTGTAGTAATTGTAAACGTCATTTTGCAAGCTGGAGCATTTTTCAAAGCTTAAAATCACCAAGCTGTCTATGGGTGTCACAAAGTACTATTTGGAGATATTTCACACATACAAACATACCTCAAGACTGGGTTACAACATTTCAGGTTTTACTACTCAATCTCATACTACGGCTGCTTTTCTTACTAATAATTTGGTTGAGAATCACTGGTTTGCATCAAATGGAACAAGGAAAGAAGTTGTGAGGTTCTTCCAATGCTCAATAAATCAACAATAATCTATGTTAGTTTTCCTGTGTCCAATATCTACACATGGGTAAGTCTAACACCCTGCTAATAAAAATAGAAGAAACTTGGACACTTAGGCCATATGTTTTGCCATCTCACACCCTTCTCCACTCCTTCCCATACTAAGGAGTGAATGACTCTCTTCTAAATCCTGCCTGCAGTGAGGATCTGGCCAACATTTGTTTCAAGGGGCTTCCCTTTTGGTGAATTCAAACCCAAAGGCTATTGTATATGAGCCCAGAGACAAAGCTAAGACTAAAAAGCAAGTTTTCACAGAAAACTCAAAGCAAGAATTTCCAGATTAAACACTACATTTGGACATTAGATGCTGAAGCAGACTGTGCCTCACAGAACATAAGCTGGGATCTCAGAGCAGTTTTGGTTCAGGATCCCAAGGTTTTCTCCAAGCTTAGCTAGGAATAAATCCTCACAGGATTTATTAGAACATCAACCCTGCATACAAAAACTAATGAGCAGAACAGGATGGGGGAAGGCTATAAAAATTAGTAGATAAAAACTATAGAAATAATATATTTTTCCTAATATTTTAATCTAAGAAAATCAATTATGTTTCCAATAATCTTATGGTTACTTTATGAAGGTTGTAGCCAGCTCACTGAGATAATCGGAATCTACCTTGCATCAGTGAGCTCTTGGAGAGTTTAAGAAGAGAAAGAAGAAAAAAAAAAAAAACTGTTCTTATTAGAGACTTAAAATATAAGACTTCACAGCCCATTCAAATGTCACCTGCTCAGGGAAGAGCTGCTGGCCAGCCCTGTGGCTTTAGGCAGCACTCATCTCCTTACTTCTTCTACTAAAACTCTTTGAGGAGCATTCCAGGGTCCATCTGGGAGGAAACATACTTATCAGGAGCCTGGAATAAAAACTGTCTAGGTTCAAATCCAAAGATTACTACTAATTACGATATGACCTTCAGCAAGTTACCTGTTGTTGTCGTTAGATGCCATCGAGTAGGTTCCAACTCAAAGTGACCCTATGTACAACAGAAGGAAACACTGCCTGGTCCTGCGCCATCCTCCCAATCATTACTATGTTTGAGCCCATTGTTGCAGCCACTGTGTCAATCCATCTCATTGAGGGTCTTCCTCTTTTTCACTGACCCTCTACTTTACCAAGCATGAT